AATTATTATTTAAAAGCATAACCTTAGAAGTACCAACATTTTGGAAATCAATCTATCATTCGATCATGGAGCTGAACATCGGTAATATCGTACAAGCAATAGATCCAGATAGCGGAATTTCTAAGAGCCAAGATTAAAGCGATAAAGGATGGGAAAATCCAAGTATTTTAGGTCAGCTACAGAACCCATATGGCCTAAGCAACAGCTCATGCCCCTGCAATGCAAGATAGATACATTAGAAGTATCCAAGAGATCAAAAAGCAGCGGTGGATTAACCTACTGTACAAGAAAAACAGAAAAAAACATAGAAAGAGGGCAAAAGAAAGTTCTTGTCAAATGAAATAACATCACAGGGTGGAAAATGGTTCACAGCGGAAGAAATAGAGCATTACGAGCTGTGTGAACACTAAACAGATGAAGGCATTCAATCTACCACCAACTAAATTTCCATCGCAAGATTCAAGCAAAAGCACCAATGAAAGAATACTTTCAGCTATCAAGGTCCGTAAATGGGAAACCAGTTAAATAAACAAACCATGAAATCAAAACCCATTTGGTGGAAACTGTCAAACAGCCAGAAGAATTGATAGACACCGTTGATGAGCAGGTGCCTGGTCCAGTTATGCTGACTGAATAGAAGGACACAGAGAAAGAGAAATAAAGCAATCTAAGCCATATTTGGAAAAACTTGTTACAATTTTTTTAATGATCACAAATTTAAATCTGCATAATTCTGTTTGTATTTCAGATAGTGTTGGTGGAATAGTATCCAGACAGTTAGAGGTCACAGATACATATAAAATTGAATCCAAGTTTTACATGGGAGGATCATAGAGAAATTATAAGCATTGCAGGTATGTTACAGTAATACCCCTATATTTCGATGTCAACTTGACTATTGCTTTATCACTGTCATGGAAGAAAATGCTACACTGTAGATCATTACACCATATTGAGCGAGGCTGGAGACACCGTTGAGAAGAAAGAGAAGGTAGTGAATGATGTTAGCGATGCCGTTGAAGAAGAAGTCGAGGAGCAGAATATCATCAGTGAAGAAGAAGCAGCAATTGAATATTTACACCCGAAAAGAAGAAGAGTCGAAGACTTCAATATTTTAAACTTCTCTGAGAGTGAACTATCGTTTTCGGATTCGCAGTGTGGCCAAAGTTGTATGTAATATATATATACTGTCTCTTATACACATCTAGATGTGTATAAGAGACAGGTTAAACTAGGGCATTATTGTGATGTTATGAAAAAATGATGCATAATAAACAAATATGTAGTGAAAACAAAGATGATAAGTGTTCTGCTGTGAACTTCATTTTAATTTGCAGTTTAATGATTTTGAAAAAAACGTCGATCTTTCTTGTCATTAAATTTTGTTTTGAAATTATATAGTAAGCATCTCTTATTAGTAATTTAATGAATTTGTTTAAGAAAATCACAATGTAGGCCTACAGTCATTTACATGAGTTATTTTCTATTCCATATATCCATTATTTATAGATATCCATGAGAATGCCACAATTCGATCATTACTGCAACGAGTGGAGGCTCTGGAGAAGGAGGTCAGATTGTTGAAGAGCAGCAGACCACCACCAAATTCTTCACTGATGCCCAGTACAAGTACACACCCACTTCCTCCTGACGACGATGGCGTATATTTGTTGGGGGGAGCGGTGCCCGTCAGCCACCGGGCTTACAAGAAATGCAGGAGTGGGACGAACAAAGCCTCCAGTCTTTCGCGAAGCCTTTTAGAAGTGTTATTCACTAACGAGGAGTTAGTTAATTGTACTCTGGTACAAGAAGTCACATGACCGATAGGCAACCGCTGTCTCCAAGGAGAATGGATGCCATATTTGATGAGGTGGACCTGGTGTTTCCAGGGTCTAGGATTTCGGAAGATCAATCAGAGAAGCGATTAATGAAAAAGGCCGTTATTTGCTATTCGCTATTAAGAAACGTGATTCTAGCACTTAATACTTGTAGCTATGTTAAAGTTATATTAATATATAATTATATTATTAAATTTAGTCACTATTTATGCTACGAAGTTAATATCAAAGTAAACAACGAGTAGGCCTATATCTCGATTGTGTTACAGTAATATTGTTTTTGTGAAGATTTTTTTGAGATATGATTCAAAAATAAATCGTGAACTTTATTTGAATTGGTAGATTCTGTTATTAATTGTCTCTGTATTTGTGTGGTTCTTGTTTGTACAATAAAAAAGCTGATTAAATGTAAATACAAACACATCACACAACTGACGCCCTGTCTAATGTTGTTGAGAGATAACGACTGGTTTATGTAGCATGTTCCACCACTGTACATCAAGCAAACCATGCCAAGTCAACTATTATATGACGTGTATATCGACAATAACAGAACTCAAAAAGTAATTAACCAATTTACTTCATTTAAAAAGTATGATATTGTATTTGTAGAGCTCTTTCATGTGATACCACTTAATACAACTACTCCATTGCATAATTTTGATCTGACAACCCTAATATACCGCCGGAAAAGAAAATGTTGACACCAGGAGAACGCTTCGCTTTGTGACCTTGCAGATCATACAACACAACAAAGATGGCTGTGCCCATCCGTTTGCATGTTCGCTTACTGTTCTTGTGCAATCTTCGCTGCAAATATTTCACAAAATTAAATTTAAAAGACAAACTAAATGTGGATGGAAAAATAATTCACGCTATTTTGTAGGTAGGACAGCATAGCTAAATTTAAGACTGGAAATATAAAATAAAATAAAATAAAATAGTGGCAAGATGAGCACATATCTATACAGTACAAATTGTTATTATTGACTATTATACAGCCATGGCATCCATGATGCCTGTTGTGTTGAAGTGAATTGTGCTTGATTGAAGTGCTTGAAAATGCCGTTTGTGGTTGGAACAATAACTCGACAGGAAAGTAAAAGCTCATAAAAGGTTGGTTTGGTTGTTCGCTAGCTGGCGAATTCACTTTGCATGAATTTTAGATTGTTTAGCAATGGGAATTATGACGAAGATCCAATATCGAATGAAGAATGTTAAAGAAAAATACGGTGTTCAACATTAAAGTTTGACAAACAGAGTATGCAAGAACGTGATGCAAGCTGTGATTCAATATTTCAAAGATGATTTGTTCATCTTCAGGAACACATTTATGCACAATCTGAAGTACATAGCAATGTACCAAATGTTGAGAATAATCAATCACATTTGAATGAATGTGCTGCTATCCAACATTTATTTTGTCCAATATTCATTTAAAATACATCAGAAATTTTTTTTGTACACTACAAATTTTTACGAAAAAAAAAAATTACGTCACCCGACCCTGCTAAAAAAGGACTGGAGCTGGGAGCCGAGAGCTCAGCCTTGCTAGTTGCATGTCAACGAGAAGACTATATATACTGAATACTTACCTTGTGCTTTGGAGTATTATTATGATGTTTCTGTATGGAACGAAGGACGTTTCTACACATAGCTGGGGCCGCTAAGGCTAGGCCTCACGGTAAAAAAATCATAATTGATAATTCCAATACAGCATTTAATGATTTAATACTAGGGCCTGGGCTTAGAAAATGAACTGAAATCAATAAAACTAAAAAAATATTGTACATGGAGCCTGAAATCGAGAAAAACTGCGAGATGACCCTTATAAAAAATTAAGCGCACGTGCACTAGCCTAAGCTAGTAGTAGCAGGCTATCCTAATAAAACAAATCTTTGACTCTAAATGAAGTCATGCTAGGCCCCTCCTTCCTAGCCTGCCCACGGTACACAAATAAAATAATAAAGATTCAAGGTAAATATTTACGGATTGCGTGCCAGTCACAGAAGGAACAGTGAAATCGACAACTTGGCTAAAATTCGGAGCAGGTTGACGTCGTTTATAGTGTTTAAATTCACGTTTGAATGCATCGATGTCAAGCGAACATCGTTTTGACTTGTTCATGGTGGGAGCGCCATCCTGCCTATCTCAGTGTCCACTGTTTAATGGATGCTTAATTTTTCATTAAGGTAGGCCTCGGCCTAAATCGAATTTAAGTTTTTACCTTAAGTATAGGCATAGCCTAGTAGTACTTAGCCTACTTTCTTTAAAGAAAACATATTACTTTTTTTTACTAAATTTGTGTTGGCTGTTAATAGAATTGGCTTCTACATTAGCTCACTGTTGGATATTTGCATTTTGTTGAAATAATAATAATAATAATCCACCCCTACTGAAATAGACGCGTCTACTTAGCCCGGTCCCAGAGACTACCACATTTTTCTTGACAAAAAGACACTGGTTATACTGTATGGTTATATACTCTTTGGTGATGACATGCCTAAATATGATGACATCACATCATGACCATATATAGGCACATCATGACTATATATGGCCATAGAACAGTTTTTTGTCAAAGAGAAATTTGATAATCTGGACAAAGCTTTACTCCATCCCCGCGCGCAAGATTCATGTTTTTCGGAAAAATAAGTACGAACAAAGAAACTAGAAACACAAGATAGAGTTCTCCACAGGAAAAAAAAAAACTGTTCCACCGAAATGCATTGTTTCTTTATTTATTATATGATATTTACACTTGTTACTGTGCCAGTGATTGCAAATAAAAGAATCTTGAATCTTGAATGGTGGGAATACAAACAATGGGGCGCCGCGTACGGCTGGCTCTAAAATATAACTTCTGCTACAGTTACATAACTGTAAATACATTAACCTCCTTTTGCGGAGGTTGAAATCGTTGACAAACAAGTACTGTAGGTGTAAATAAATCAAAAAAATAAAATGACAGACACAAAAGCGCAGATTCGTATGACCGAACTCTGATTAGTGACTAAATTTTCCTCCATTAGTGGAAAAGAAGGGCGCCGCATGCGTCTGGTTATACATATCTCAATGCTAGCCACCTAGCAACAGAAGGGCGCCGCGTACGTCTGGACCAATTTCCGCCTCATTTTTGCTATCTTGTGTAAAGTATCTTTTGGTTTTACGAATGAAAGTTCAAAGGTCTTGCTAGCTCACGTCGTGTCGCACGTTAGGTCAGAATTTCTCCCCAAAAAATATGGCCAGTGGTAGGCAAGCAGCAAAGAAAGCTTGTGAAATATTTGTTGCAAGACTACCATGGACAGTAGGACCATGTATGCAACAGATAATTATTATTATATTTATAGTCCATATTGTATTCGTAACCGCGTGTGCTCGTGTGTGACCGGCTAGGCTAGGCCTACATACTTTAGGCTAGGCCTGTCGTCGCTGCTCCCTACTTAGGCCTACTTACTTAGGCTAGGTACTTGTCTGATGATAGGCGTCCCTTTTTTAGCCTAGGCTAGGCTAGTAGTAGGCCTAACCTAGGCCTAGATAGAGAGGCTAAGCTAGCTAGACTTTTTTTTTAATTAGGCCTGGCCCTACCTACATCATAGTCTAGCCTAGCCCTGGTTTAGGGAAGTTGGGCAAGGGGGATACAGTACATGGATGTATGTTCCAACCCTCCCAGACTGTATAGTAAGGCCTGTGCAGGGAATATATCCTCAGCGGCAAAGCTTTGTTTTGGCCTAGAAATCTGTCCACATATAATTTGGGAAAATAAGGGCTGATTTTTCTGCACAGATTTGCTGAAAATTAGGCTCTGGCCTAATCTTAATATATGTGTATTATGCAGTAATTACGATTCTGCAAACATACCTAGGCATATTTTCCTAGCGACTGTCCACGCAAAAATTTGCTCTGGTTTTTGAGGTATTATCTGCACAATTAAAAAAATTTACAGTATGGGAACCCACCCGATTTGAAATTTACATGATTGCAATATCCTGTTCTCCAGATAAATACCAAAAACAGCTAAATTTAGTTGCTTTTTGATACCAAATTGAGTTGTAGTTGACACCTTGAAAGATTAGGATGCATAATAGATATTCTGAATTTTGAGTTCTAGAGAATGTCTGAGGGTATGATGTGAAAATTGAGAATACGGAAATATATCCCTATTTCAATGGAAACTTAATGTCATTTTTAGTATTTTTGGTCAGGTTTGATTACTCTCTAGCTGAAGCTAGAAAAAGGACTTTGCTTTCACCTTATCCATGATTGCCAAGGCTGTGTGGCTCAAAATGCCACTCTTTGTCGAGCATGCATATGAACTTTAATTAACTGGGTATTAGCCAGTTTTAGCAACTTCGATGCTGGAAACTCCTTAAACCATGTGTGGCGCTAATCTAGAATGGGGGCCAAAGAGCAAGTAGACAGAGGTAAAATGCGGTTTGAGCATAGATGAAGTTGGGCAAGCCTAGGTATAAATCTAGATTTAAAAATAGCTATTCATTTATGTTGATAAAGTACATCTACATTTGATATGTAACTTGTTTTTTTTTTGTGTGTTTTGTTTTTAGGTGAGCTTCGAAGTTATTTTAGTGAGTTTGGTAATGTGAAGCAGGTGAATGTTCCATTTGTAAGTTTGTTATAAATAAATTTAATGAAAATCACAACAGTAGACCAACTTAATCCCCAAAGCTATTGATTATTCAAACCAAAACAATGGTCCAGTCTTTTACACAGTAATTAAAAAATATTCTTTGGTAAAACTCATCAGAATGGTGTACTGTATTGGTAACTAGTTCTATTATTACCTTACCTCACCCTTTGGATGCAGCTGAGATGGACTCTGCTTCAGGTGTTGCGGTCTGACATTGCTAAGATATTTTTTTATTGTGATATGAATGTGATTATAATTAATCTGTATCTGATCTTCATCTAGGCCTAGCATATCTTCCCATTTGAGTTAACCAACCCCTTACCTGGCAGATCATGCCGCCATCATTGCATGCAAACTGCAACACTTAGACTTGTAGCATATGAAGACAGATGAATCAAGAATGAAAATGTTGGCCACTGAAAATTGGGGTGGATCTTACCATTAATATAAGTCTAAAAATAATATGACCAGATGGTGGTATTTATATAAATAGGCTGTAAATTATATTATTGTTATTAAATTTTTGCAGGATATTAAAACTGGGTTTTCACGCGGGTTTGGCTTAGTACAATTTGAAACAGTACAAGAAATGAAGACTGCAGTGCAACAAGAAGTTCATATAGTAGAGGGAAGGAGGGTAAGAAATTCTTTTTTTTAAATCTTAATTCTTGCACTAATTTTGATTAACTTTGAACATAAGATGCAACTTTTATTATTCCTTTTACTAACTATGACCATTTCTAAAGAGAAAAATAAACATAACGTAAACTACTATATATCACAGGTGGGCAAATTGCAGCCCAATAGCAGTTTGTTGTGGCCTCTGAACCCTAATTAAAAACCCTGTTTTGTGGCCCTGCCTACCATCTTGGTTTGAAAAACCTTTTGTTTCTGCTTCCGTTCCGTTAAAGTGAACTTATCAAAAAGGGATAATACAATAATAATACAGTGTTAGTTAAAAACATCTTTGTCCAAATAAAGTTGCATAATGCAATATTTTTAAAGGCACATTTAGAACTTCAAATTTCACAATAAAAATCTAATTTTGTGTGTAGTCCTTAGTAGTCATTCAAAAATACACATTGGCCCTCTGACCAATAATTATTCCCACCCCCTGAACTACATGAATTCTGAGTTGATATGTTTGTTATTGGCTGAATGAAGAATGAATTTCATTCATTCATTCATAAATACGACAGTAGGGTTGGTAGGCATCACTATTATTCAATAAGATTTAGGCAAGAATGCTTCCATTAACTGTTTGATAATAAACATAGTTTTTATGATCAATCTCAATGTCAATGTCATCAATGTTATGATGATGATGATCCTCGTTTTAGATTAAAAACTTTTTGTTTTTAATCTATGACTTGCTAGATTGATGATGTATGAAATTTTTTGAAATCAGTAGTTCATGAAAGCAGTATATCTTTTAAAGCTTCTCTTTATTATACACTTATTTTTCCAATCTATTCCCTCAGGTTCAAGTTCAACAAAGTGGAATGCCAACAAAACCAGAAAGACTTCAAATAAATGGCAACTTCATTGGTTGAATCAGTAGATCACTAGAGAGATTTTGGAACCTTACAAAAACGATAACGAATACGCCATTTTTATTTGTGCTATACAAGCTGAATGTGTGATCATTGATTCATGCAAAAGGCGTGATACAGCTACATTGTGACATATGCTGCTGTAGGGGAAGGATTGTCTAAAAATGTGATGTATTCGTTTCGTTTCGTAAGCTTGCAAAAACTCCCTATTGTTGTTTCGGAGACTGGTGCAAGAACAGTAGCTCCAAGATGTGGCAATAGATGGTTATTTTGAATTGAATAATAATACCATAATAAAAAATGTTCATAGCCTACACATTTTGCAGATTTTATACTAAAGATTTTATTTGTTGAAAGTCCCATAAAAGACTTTAAAATTGATACGGTACCACTTAAATGAAATGCAACACAAGAGCTGATTGCACTAAGATTAGCCATGTATATTGTGTAATGCAATTTGAATATCACTCTTTTTAATATCATTTAGTACTCTACCTGTGTATGTAAAAAGATGACATGAATTAAAAATTGAGTGAGTTTACCTGACTGTTCATTTCTTTATTTGAGTCCAAATGAATTTAAGAAATAAAATGAGGCTTGTTGTGACCAAAAATGAAAATTGACTTTTTAAAATAGTCTTATTGTCCAAATTGGTACGCTTTAAAATGATGAGAATCCACATAATTTTTGCCGAAGATATGAGTAAAAGTATTATGGCTTCTCTGTAAGTATAAAGCAGTGCCACAGTTTTATGCTTAGTTAACACTTAGCTACAGTATGCTGTTTTGGAATTGCCAACCTCAAATTAATAATTCATATATATTTTAAAGGAATTTACAATGTGATAATAGACATGAATGAAAGGAAGAAAAAAAACTTGTGTAGTTTGTACATGTGTAGTAATGGAAAGGCCTTCAATTGAGGTTGTGTCTGATCACCTGGGTATTCAACCTTTTTTAAGCTGGTGGCCAGTTCAATTTATTGAGACCAGCAGTGGGCCGACATAATTGCGTACTTCCAAATTTGACAGCCCACCCATTCTCATATAGGCCTACAATTCTTCCTAATATATGCCCCCCAGGCACTAAAGATTTTCCGGGAAAAAAAAAAAACCACTTGGGTCAAGATAAAAGCAATGCCAGTGCCAAAAATTCCCAGACTGGAGGAGTCCGATATTCCCGAAAATTTTAAAAATAGACACCTAGATGCCCTGTGTATATCATATGTAACCAACCGGACGTGCCCCCCTCTCCTTATTATATTGTATATCCCATAGCAACAGAGGCTGAAATGAACACCCTACTCTTTTGAATGATGTAATAGGTAGTGCATGAGCCATACATGTATACCAGACCTCTCATTTTAAGTCTTCCAAAGAACTACTCAGTTCTCCAACCAGCACTGATGTAAGGCTTTTAATTGACCATGTATCAAGTAAAATGGAAATGCGCTCTGTATAATGTTTACCAAAAAAACATGGACTGATATATATATATAAATAAGTAAAAAATTTACTACTACAAAATAAATCAAACGATCATTTTCATTTACTAAAATTTATTGCCTTTCAACTCTCTTAAACAACCAATCAAAAGAAAAATAGAAAATAACTCATTATGTTTCTTTGTAAAAATCCTTTCTTATTTTTTAATGTCATTATTTCTACACTTTTTTTGTATACAGTATGAATGCTAAACTATGAAACACACACATGAGGACGAATACAGTATTAATGATACTCGCTCTTGACAACAACAAAAATAGCTATCCTCCTCTTAGAATATTAAACACAGCAAAACTTGACCTTTAAACTGTTAAATCACTATTTCACAAATAAAAAATATATCCTTGGATTTGTAGTAAATTCAATGCACACTACAGGGTTGCATCTATGATTTTAAAAAGGAATGGGGACCATAGTTTTGAATTACGGATTTTGGAGTTCTTGCTACTCTGGAAATCTATATAGTATTTACGGTAGTAAGAAAATGGTCCTTAAATTTGTAGAATATTGATTTCAATGTAAGAAAGGGTTATGAAAAGTTAATAATCCACTTAGGTACCATTGCTTTACTTTTGAACTAAATGACAAATTGCAAGCCTACAATATTATAGTTATGGTTAGTGATTTACACTAACAAATATATAAACAAGAATATACAAGAGTATAAAGTTCATCTGTATATATTTTTTGTGGGGAGAGGATAATTCTGTAGTATTCAGAAATAGTTTATATAAAAGTTTATTGTATTTTTTGAAGCAATTTCTTTACTAAACATTATTTCTTCATGCAACATATATTTTCTTTTGTTTTAGTCTCTCAGTCTCACATCAACACACAAATAAATTATGATAAATAATCTTTAAAGATCTATCACAAAATTATATAAATCAAAGATAAATCATGGCAAGTAAACAATATTCTAGAAACTAATATTTAAAGCACCATTCACACCATTAAGTTCTATGTGGTTTAATCATATACAGTACTGTATACCGTAAAACCTTGAATTGAAGCCCACCTCTTCAGTTTGCTAAATTTAGTACAGTACATACACTGTACATGAATCCAAACATGCTTGGTTTACACAGTAGTTTAGGTAATTTAATTCCGGTTAATACACTCCATGATACTGATTGATGCTACAGTGTCCCTATTTATAGTGGCTAATTCTCAAAATTTACAGCATTCATTTTGAAAAGAAGTCCCCCTTTTTAATTTGCAAAAGTGGCCTCGAAAAGAAGTCCATCCAAATTTTGCAAAAAAAAAAGCCCATGGCTTCAATTCAAGTTTTTATGATGTGTGTTATGCTTTGTACACACTGTCAAATTGTATGTAACAAATTTGTGTGCTGTGCCCATATATGTGTATGATGATGTCATATTACACCCAAATATGGGCATATCACATTTTTTTTCTCCGCATAAAACGTGACAGTGTGGACAGGCTTTAATCATCTACAAATATACTGTAATAACAACATACTGTAATATTTACATGTTTATGATCTATAAACATTAAACTAATTTGGTGAATTTCAAAACAGTGTTCAAAGAAAGTAAACATTATGTGAAAGACTAATCTCCTGTTTGTATACTCTATTAATTGGAAGATTAATTGTACATTATTTACAACCAAATTTCATATATTGCTATCCTTTTGTATTATATACATTATATACAATAATGAAGTACATTTATTTATATTTTTGAGGGGCTGCAAAAATGTAATGTAATATTGATGTTTGTGCTGAAATCGGTGAGTTGTGGAGTATTTTATCTACAGTAGCTATGAGAATTTTTGACTGATTAATCATTGCACTATTTAAATTAATTTATATGAATATTCAGTACCTAATTAACAAAAACTAATTAAATCACATTATTGCACATGCATACACCCGTGTGCCAACATGTATGGTGATCTAGCCCGTTGCCATAGAACAAAATTTTCTTGAACTGAAATCATTTCGGATATATAATAAAAATAACATTGATTTTTCTAAATAGTACAAAAAAAAACAACACTTAGCACCAAACACTAAAATTAGACAAGTTATGCAACAAATGCTTGCATATATATGTTAGCTGAAATGTTTCTGTATGGTAACACAACAGAGTTTGCAAAAGAATACTAGAGTGTTAAGATGGAGATGCACAAATGCATATTCACTATGTTCAAACGATGTGACAGACAATATTGTATATCAACATTATTTCATATATGTATTTTTTAAATGCCGTTTTGTTAAGGGAACCTTTTCAATATGATCATTAGAGACCACAATAAATATAACAACTAATTATATAATATAAAAAGTCTTACTTTATAAATGATTAAGTATACAGATATTAGAAACTTCTGTCGCACATCTTTCAAAGCAAAAGGCAAGGAAATCTGGTGCACCCACAAGCTTCAAATATGAAACTTAAAATGCACACCTTAGAAATCTTCTTAGAAACTATGCCATTAAGCACATTTTATAAACAGTTTATGGTAATGCTTTATGTGAATGCATTCCAGTTAGCACTCTAGTTTTCTTAGGACAACTCCATAGCTAACACACAGTTACACATGTTCCTTTCTCAATAGCACCACATCAAGTGTGAAGACACTGTCATACTGGAAGCCAATCAATCAGAATGGAAGATTAGTGTCATATGACCACACTACCCATCTCTGCCTGTACAAAATCATTTTACACCTTAGAAAAAACAAAAGGTTTTTAAAATAAATTTCTCTTCTCCCTGTTCAAAATTGTTTCTATTTCAAATGTTAGCTGCTATATTTCAAAGCCTCAAACATTGATTATAATATAATGTATACTGCATTAAGTGTTTGATAACAGAATTTTAAAAATCACTTTTCTATATGAGATGAGACAAATCCATCAATGTGTGTCACATGATCACATCACTTCCTCTGTGATTACACCTTATTACCAGCTTTCACAACTTTCTACTCTTCATTTTTATACCCGCCATTTGACGTAGCTGTCGGTTCAACAAATTGGTGGATTCACATATCCAAACATGTTGAATTCAACAAGTATGGAGAACGTCAGAAAGATGGCGTAAAAGATCATCAGTAAAATTCCAACACGCCTGTCCAACTTCCACTTGTTGCAATGAATGGTAATAATCTAAAAAAGAATCGAGAGCAATTATTAATCTTAACTTCCTAGCTCTTTACTTCTAGCTCACTATATCTTTTATAGACTAGCGTAGGCCTAGAAATCCGCGCATTTCAGAAAATATGGGCAGATTTTCGCGCAGATTTAGCCGAAAATTAGGCACTGACCCATTAATATAATGTATTATGAAGTAGTTACGATTCTGTGCACCTATTTTCCTTCCGATTCTCCGTGCAAATTTCAGCTAGTTTTTGAGAATCATCTGCGCAATTAAAATACTTTACACTCTGGCATTAACTTCTTATATTACATGTTTACACAATTTTTACTTCTTTCAAACCCAACCAATACTTACAGTTGCTGTTACTGATGCAAACAATAATATTACTGAGTAGATCAATCCACGGCTATTAATTGTAATCTGAAAACAAAAACAAAACAACATTTTTTAATAGTTGGTACATTATAAATTCCCTTGAATGTAACAATACAGTTTTTTTGTTTTTTTAAAAATATTTATATGGTCTCAAACAAGAACAAGTATAACAAGCCAGGCATTGACTGCAGCCCACTATCTCCTACAGTCCTGATTGACTGGGTGGCTTTTCTGCAGGATTTTTGGGATTTCTGTTGATATATTCTCAAGGTATTGCGATGTTGCTTACCAATGTTTTCTTAAAGCTTGCACTTTGTAACTGTTAACGAAGGTACACTTTTATTGCACAGCAGTACCAGTACTAGTGAAAGGGATGCTTTAAGTCCCATTATAGTATGAGGTAAAATCCTAGAGTTTTTATGATTTGAATCCAGGAAACAGGTTTTGTCAGGCGGGCATTTAGTTTTATATAGTCTGGGTTGAATGAAATGCTGTCTTCATCAGTTAATGCCAGTGTAAAAAAAAAAAAACCCTTTACACACCCAATAAAACACAACATTATGGTTGTATTATCATGGTAAAATCAGTAATGTTAAAAATTTAATTTTTAAATACAATTCTTTATTTACTTTTAAATTCCAATTTACTAAAAAACATAATGCAATATTGTTTCACGCGTTCACTGCCAGGGACGCAAGTTCACAACAACACCTGTTTAACATACCACTATTGTAGTGCACATAAACCCGCTATCAGTGGTAGCCAGAACATGAAATCTCGCCCTGGAGGTTCAGTGAAGAACTCGGAAGTAACATTCTGATAATAAATACTGTATATTTGTTTGTGTTTTATTACAGTTGTTGGGATGATTTTCATTATAGTGGCACCCTTTATGCCTTGGCGTAAAGGGCGAAACTAGGAAAAAAGGCTTGGCAGTCAATGTGTTAAAAGATATGAATTTAGAATCATGTGAAATTGTAATTTTGTATGTGAAGTGCAGCTATGAGGTATAAGCAATTGTGAAACTTACAAAAGACCCGTAGTTGACTAATGTTGTCTTAATGAACCAAGGTAATGCTAGTCCAAGAAGAATATCAAAAACATTGCTACCAATACAGTTTGAAACAGCCATGTCACCCAGACCTGTAAAATAATTGAAAATAAAATGTATAGTAAATATACTATCATCTGTGGTAATTTATAAAGCAACATTTAAAAGGAGGAAGTGCAGTATACATTGTGTTGTGTGTGCTATTGGTGGAAAAGGTGATGCCTCTGTAATTATTCATTCAATTCATCTGTACCAGCAAGGTATCATTAAAACCTACTAGATACCCTTTAGTGTCTAGCCCAAGAAATCAGATAAAATGGACGGTGTGGTTAGAACTCCTGTCCAATTGGGGGCCTGTCCACTGCCACTTTGTGAATCATTTCAACCAATCAAAAGTTCAATATAGAATTGAGAGAGTGCATTTACCTTGTCTTGCTACTAGCAAGCTGGCCATTGCATCTGGCACACTGGTCCCAGCAGCCAGGAATGCTATTCCCATGATGGTATCAGGAATTCGAAGTGTATAACCAATGAGTGCTACCATCCACACCATGATGTAGGAGAACACAACAATCCACACGATAGACATTAAGAATGTCAACATGTACCAGCTATGAAACCTACGGAACAGATCAAAACAAGTCAATGGAACTTTCTTGCAGTGTCAACCAAACTTAACTGACCAATCACAACAGCATTAGTAATATGCACTTCCCACGTACGTAGTATAAGAAAAAATATTGATCTAAAAATGCACTTAGAAAAAACTCCATATAAACAAAAAATATTTACATCTACTAGTCATGCATCATTAGGACTAGCATTGGAACTAAACACATCAGTGGGACTCTAAAGCCTCCCACTACCACATACATATGATTATACCAGCAATAAACATTTTCAAATCTGTTCAGAAATTATGACTTGCCTTTCACGTCTGCAGTCCGGGACGGTAATGTAAAGGACGAAGGACAACGGGAAAGTGAGGATCCATTTTGCAATGTTCCAACAGCCGTCTTCAAAGAAACAAAGCATTAAAATACACACTTATCAAAACCATCATAACACAACAATCTCTGACTTGTTCTCACAAAAGTTAATTAAATTCAGTTAAAAAGTTTGACTGTCTTCATGTACTATCAAATAATCTATCATTCATCTGACAAATTTTGAACATCAGAAAACTAAAAGTTATGTGCATTATCTTTAGGTTGGCTGTGTAAAGTGCAACATGTGCACTCGAACTGAAGAAAAAACCTGTTTTTCTCAGTTGTGCTAATATAAATTCAATTGCTTATAATTAATGAAAGGAAACATATAAACCCAGTAAGTTTATATATCCTTCTAAACCTAATTAATCATAGAACGTTTTAATATCTTGCTACTTTGTCCGGGTTTTGTGGGAACACATCAATTGCTTATAATTAATGAAAGGAAACAAATAAACCCAATAACAATTAAAGTAACGATTTGAAAGTTAGTTTAAAGATGCAAAGCTGAAGTGGAGATATAGATAACTATAAGTTGTATAAGGCGGCCATTTTTAAATCCAAGGTGGCCGCCATAATGACCTCAAATATAAAGGTGGTTCCTACCAAAAACTGAATGCTATGGCCATAAGGAGCATGTAAAAAAAAAAATTTGGTGCTTTCGCCTCGAACATCTACATCCATCTGCTAAGCTGCCATACTTGTTAACATACCTGGAATATTAAATGGGCTTTCTGGTCCTTCTTCTACCTCTCCTGCAATATTTCCCGTGGCTTCTTCAACATCAAGGCTAAAGTAAAAGATAAAATGAATCCATAATTTTGTAATTTTTACCAATATCAACTATTGCGGTTAAGGAATGGCAAATGAGTTACTGGTTAACAATTGCATCCTACAAAGCATTGAGGACAGCATATTATTATTCAAGAATAAAACAACATCTGTCTACATCAGTAGAACTGCACTGGGAAGAAGGTTTACAATTTAGGCACTTTTACAGACAAAAAAGTATTAGTTAATTTACTAACAATTGTAACAAGTACACAACAAACCATGTATTATTGGGATGTGTATGTGCACAAACATTTTTTTATTTAGCTGGTATGACAAAGGAAAAGATGAGGATGGCACACATGTAAAATGAATTCCTGATCAAACACTTTTAGAATTCTAACCATTATTCTGTTTCTTTAAAAAAAAAAAAAAATGTATATTAATACTTTGTGCAGTGTAAATTTCAATATTCTTTTACACCTGTGAACTATTCTAAATATTACTATTATGATGTATTGCCTGGTGAAATGATGTCTTTTATAGCCAGGCTCCGGAGGAAAAAAAATTGATATGTAGTCAAAAAGGGGTCTAACCACCCTTTTTCTACCTTTCCCCCCAGTTTTTAGATACTAGTATTCAAATATCTGTATCTCATAAACCGTTCCAAGTTTTTCATCAAACACCGTTTGGTGTTTTAGCCTAGCTTTAATCAGTTTTATATATTGGCTTTCTTGATACCAGAGTATACAAAGTATTGAATAAATTGTTAAAGATGCATACTATTGAAAACTGTATTTTAATTAGCCCAGATTTCTTTATCGATTCAGAACTCCAAAAAGATGATCTTTATATTTCAGAGCAACGACTAGAATGAATACGTTGACCAGGATGGATGTGCTGCGAATCATTCCTTTTTTGGTTGTATGTTGTGTCGTGATTCTGTTAGTGGATATTGGTCCATTGGCTTTTGTAGCAATAAATAAACTGAATTTAACTGAATTGAAGTTAAAGATGACTGAACATGTAAAATGATAATGTTGTGAGGAATGGTATGCCTACTTAAGAAATTCAAACTAAGTAATGTAATCAATGATATACTATTTGCGTAGAGTTAATAATCTTGAACAATAAAACTAAATATTATAATTGCTTGCTATGTATATTTAAAGCTGAGTCTACACTATCAAATTTTCTTGTTTGCCCATATATAGTCACCATATGCCTATACATGGTCATAATGTGATGTCATCATGACTATACTTAGGTCTGGACAGGGCTTTATTAGTAATTAGCTTTCAACTGAAAATTAGAATAACAAAATCATTCCCCAGCCAAATAACATGAATAACATAATTCCCTTATATTGTTTACGAAATGGAAATCAAGCAAAGAAAGTTTGAAAAAGTCGTAAAAATCAACAAATATGCTTTTATATATATGTGTCTCTTACGAAATTATTAATTGATTTTTTTAAATGTGAAATTCAAAGTAGTGGCGGCACCATTGGTTGGTCCAGGAGGCTCAGGTCCGCTGTTGGGAAAGTTACAGTGAACATTTCATCAGGGAATACTAATTGAGAAAGCATTTTTAGTCTTTGAGTGCACGTTATAAGCCTGTAGAGCTGCCTATTCTTCAAATTTGGTGGCCCGACGAGGTAGGTGTGGAATCTGACACCACCACTGTTTATTGAGAAACTTTTTTTTCAGACTGATACAATTTATTGCTAATTAAATATCTTAGTAGTAGTCCTTACCTTTTCCCCTACTTTTGATTTCATTCAATCATAATTATTCAAAGTATTTTACAGTGGAAAAACTGTTTTAAAAAGGCACCTACAAAGCTAAAAACCTTATAGTATTAGGGAGCTTTTGATTGAGAACGTAGAATGAGAATGCAGACTGGCATCGCATGTGTTCAAGGTTCTACTGTAGACCATTTTCGATTTTTGACAATGCGTAAACAAAACTGATGCAACCAATGTTAATGCAGTACAGTCCTTGTTCTGGCCTGAATGTAGATTTGACAGACGACCATTCCAGTTCTCAGGAGAGAATATAACGCACAGTTTTTAGACATGCGCAGTTAAATTAAGACGACGTCATTACATTCTACGTTCTAAGCCGTCGCAAATCGAAATCTCCTAAATGATGGACCAACCTTTTTTGTGATCCTTGTGACTTTCTGGATAGACTACTATAGGTAGAGTGGCTCTTGTGCATTTTCCCATTTGTTGCTGGTGTGGCTACATACACAATGCTGTCAGGATCTTTCTGCATCAGGTGCCTCTGTCATTAAATAATCTACTATTACACCTGATGGACCAGCAAACATGCAACAAACTCAACACTCGCTCAAATTTCTAGTATGTACATTGTATGGTAAATACATTATAGTAACTGCAAAAATGTCTATTACAGTATTTTATCATTCTTGCCAGATGTAACAACTGATTCTGCACATACTATATAAAATTGATTGGTTTTAATCCAAATGCAGTAAAAGGTTTTAAAGATGTATTATCTGTTATGAGCCATACGAATTAAAAAAATATAATTCCATATTTGAATTGCATAATTTGTATTATATTATTTAATTAAGTTATTAACTTGCAATTAATAATTTTAATGTTAATAAAACATCCCCATCAATTAACGGGTAGTAAAATTGACCTTTTTTTTTAAATTGGTGAAAACTTATTTGATCATTTTAAATGAGCTATCCAGCATTTTTTATTGAATTTTTAAGATAATTTGACATTTTTGTTTCTTTTTTCCCCCTTTTTTTTAAATAATCAGGTTTGCTTAATCCAAAGGTACCAAGTAATTTTCTCTCGATATATTGACATTGCTTCAATTATGTCTCTGCCATTTTTAAAACAAGCTTCAAAAATAATGTAACTAAAATCCTAGAAGACCCATTTCTTTTACAATATGTTGCATATTTGATCTAGTTTGGAACAGCCACTACATAAATTTGAGGAAATGATTATTTAATAAACAATTGTAAAATTTTCTTTTGCTTGATTTTGCTTATAATTTATCTTTTATTTTTGAAAACATGTCCACAGATAATATTAAAAAAACAATGAAAAAGATGCTGAATCAATGGAGGATCACTATCATTTCCTTATAATCTTATTGACGAGCCTATACAGACAAACAAACACATGGGAAATCAGTTCATTGGTTTATAAGAAGAGAATGCAGACATTCTCCTCTATGTATTCCCTAAAGGAAAGGCATATTATGACAAAACATACCACTAGCACAGTGCTTAGGCATCTTAATAACAATGTCAGAGCATTACTGTTGTTAATACATACCCAGTGATACCTTAAGTAAGTACTGATTGTAATATACCCACAGAGTTTGGCAACATTAACTCACATAACATAAACAATTTAACGACATAAACCATTTGCAAAATCTGCGTGATAATGTGACTGCACGAATACATAACAATCTATATTGGTGCCTAAAGTCATCTTCATTACGATTACTACAGACTATCAGACCAAGGTAATTTAAGGATTCCGTTAGCCTAATTCAAAACCATTCAAATGAGTAATTTGGCTACCATTATTGGGTTAATTCATAGTTGAATATTTCTATAGAGATTGCAACAGTATACACAAAACCTACAAATAATGCAGACTTCCTCACTTGGTTCCTATGCCAACAGAATTTTCCTACTACCTTTTATTATTTGGTTCAAGTATTATGCAAAATATGAAGTCCAAAATTATAGTGATAACCACTTAAGTTTAAAAAATTCTAAATTTCAGTAAACAACGATTTTTGCTTGTATACCTTTAACTGTTTAATAAATATTTGTCTTACCTCTGTTATTATTACCCAGCATGCTGTTCTCATCCTGGTTCTTGCTGGAAAGTGTTTGGAAAGCATGACACGAAAACCAGCGTCAGGGAAAGTTAACCTACACGCGGAGTGAAAGTTTAATTCTCAATTTTAGTGTTAGCAAACCCTAAAATACACAAGCAAAACTCGCTAGTTAATGCAACATCAAACAACATGCATGCATTTTTCTCCCCTCCTCTCACCTATTGTGTGGTATATAAAGTCATAGATTGGTAAAGCTGGTTAAAATTGTTGGCACAAATTTACTAATTTTGACCTACGTTTATAAAAACATTACCCCACCCACAAAGTGGCACACAATGTAAACCAAATTACATTTGCATGGGCTTTTAACTTCTAGCCTAGCTTATTTTGATTCAGATTTGTGTTGGTTGCCATATTTGTTGCTAAAAAAATTAACAGTTAAACTAATAGTTGTTCTATTTACAAAACAATTAATAAATGAATGGATAGTGAATACATTGATAAAGGAATGAATGGATTTAATGGATTGACAAACAAAAAGAATGAATGGATGAATAAAGAAATTAACAGATGGACAAAGTGAGGAATGAATGAATGGATGGATGAATGAGTAGATAGATTTCTATATAGATGTGTAGATAAGTGGACAAATTAATTTTTAAAAATTAATGAATGTATTAACATATACATGAATAAATGAATGATGGATAAATGAGTGACTGAATAAAAGATTAAGAGAGCAGATATACGAATGTACAAGTGTAAAAACAAGCAAACAAACACACACACAAATGAACAAATGAATGTATTTGTATGATGTTTGTAATGTTCAGACTGTTGTGGACAATTTGGAAATACTAAATCATTAATTACGAGTCGAGTCATTGTAATATAAGCTATTTTGCAAATTATCAATTTTTTATCTTTTAATTTCAAAAGCTTGCTTTTCAAAACACAAAGCTGGTTTTAAAATGGGAAGGAGCATGGGATCAGCATGCATTGATTATCTATCTATAATCATGTGACCATGTCATGTGACCATGCCAAATTCGTTACCAACCTTTTAGGTGAATTACAAATATACTCATCAACCATTATTACAGGCTCTGCCTCAGTTCTTGGATTCAATGGTGTTACTAGAAATCAAAATTGAAATTCAAGTTTTAAATATAAAATAATCTTTATACAGGTAGTTTATTTTTAAATGTAAAATAATCTTTATTTGCATTAACCTAATAATTCCATATACTGTATTATTGGATTATCTTATTTCACTATGTTTCTAAACACTTTAATATTTGTTATTGATAATGTAAATTGCTATTAATTATTAAATATTGACTATACAGTACTGTTATTCATTTTCATGTACTGAGTACTATAATATTTAACTTCTAAAATGTTATTTTGTGCTAGTCTCAAAAGAATTTGTTATTTTTAATGGATAATAAAGATTAGCAAGTCTTCCTGTTTGTTCCCTCAGATAAGTGACTTTGCTATTAATCATCCCTTCTCTGACAATAATACGAGGGATACATAATTTTCACACAATAACCATTAATATATTCACATATATCCCCACATTGGTAAAACCATAAACCGATTATTTTCGCTTGCTTGAAGTACAGGAAATTGAATTCATCAATTAATAAAGGATATGTATGGATGAATAGGTAAGAAAATGAGTACTGAACACAATGAATAATGAATGAAACAAAGCTGTGAGCTTATATATGAAAGAAAGCACCTTTTAGGTAATATCCCTGTTTATGATAGGAATAAAAAGCCTTCTTTATTTAAAAAATAAAAAATTGTTATTGTTAAATAATTTTTAGAAAAAAAATCTGTAGTAATAATAATAATACTAAAAACAATAACAAAAATTTACAATAATAAAAACAATAAATATTTAAATATTGATCGAGTTCCTAGTCCACATATCAAGTGCCTTGAGTATCTTAGATGGATATGTGCGCTATATAAAACTACACTTTTATTATTATTATTATTATATGGTAATAATATAATAAATAAAAATAATTATAATCCAATGTTGTAGAATGATAACATTTAACATGATGATGTGAACATTAAGCACATCTCTGTAAATTAGCTGCTACAGGTGTCACAAAACACGGCCATACACAATGCAGCACAAGAACGTTGTCGAGAGATAGCTACATAGTGTGGCAATTGCATTTAGAATGCATTGACAATCTGATAACCTCATTGAGGCACAGATTTTTATATTAGATACACAAACAGTCATGTACTGCTCCCATAGGGAGGTATTCCTAGTCATGCATTTAATTCACCAACAGACTAATTTCATTCAAAAATCATTCACAAATTACCTATTTATAATGGACTGTACCAAGATCAGGAAAAAGAAGAGGTAGACAAAAAAGAAGATGGCAAGATGACCTTACATTGTACACTGGTGTACATTAGGCAAGAAAAGCATCCAACAATGGACAAGCCCAGTAAGTAATAAGTAAGTATTAGTAATGGACTGTACCACTATGCCACCCTTTGCATATTGTTGCTTAAGGTCCAAAAAAAATAATGGCATAAACATACACAAACATATACGTTTGTGGGACAAATTGTGTGTTTGTTAGATGAGTGCATTCCTGGCTCTGTTCAGGTTGGTACATGGAATGAGAGAGGCCTGTGGCACTGGCAAATATACCTATAATATGCATTCTTTTGAAGCCTTCCTAAATTTCAGTAATAATTCATACCAAATATATCAATGGGAACCATAATCAGAAAACAGAGACAACAATTATTCATTAACATTACCATTATTTTTCAGTGGCAGATTCAAGGGAGGGCCCAGCGGCCCGGCTCACCCTTCTCACTTTTTTAAAATTAAAATTTTAAAAATGGAGAAAAAGGAAAATTATATTCAAAAGTAGGTCTGAGGGTGCATTTCCAGTCATCTAGTGTCTTATTTATAAATTTTCTTACCTCAACCCCAACAAGGTGGGGCTGAGGTATTCTAGTAGTCTCACCCTGGGCCTATCTATTTCAAATTCCTGGATCTGCCCCTGTTTTTATCTTTATTTTTAGCAGAATTATTGTTGCAACTATCGATATCACTCTTTCCAATTATATCGAAAAATTCATTTTTTCAGTAGTCATCATCATTTGTATTTCAAAAATATATTTCACTGAGAATATATTATTCATTGAAATTTGTAAAGTATAAAATTCATATTGGAAAGAGTAAATGTCAAACTTCATTTTACCAATTTGAATGATAGCTACACAACATGAACAAAATTTGAATTCATGGTTGCTCCTGGCACTTTACTCAGGATCAAAGTTCTCTGATATATACATATTAATTTATATTGTTTCCGGAATAATCTTGCTCTCTAGAAAATCCAATTATTTCTGTCATGAGAGTGGTTAGTGCTCAAATCTAACATGTGATCAATGTATATACCACGAACAATGTATGCGCATCATCAGAATTTCTTAGTTTTCATATACTGTAACTCTGAGATTAATTTAAAACTAAATTTCATCCTATAGCTAGCACACTGATGAGCTATAGAATAGAATATATTATAAAAAAAGGTTTTTCATAAGGCTTCTAAAATAACAATAATAATGGTTGACTTATAAAGTAAATTGTAGATGTCTATGTGCTGAACTTTATTACCCCAATCACTGGATCAAGCACATTATAGAACACAACTCAGGTCCCTCCGGAGAATTCATAATGTTGCAGCTGTAATCAGCGCATTTTGTGTTTGAACAAAATGCCTGGGTGGAGAGGCAACTGTAGGTAAAGTGAAGTTGATTTTAGTCGCGAGAAAAACTGTTGAGTTAACAGATTTGTAACTAAGCAACTTATGGCTCAATCCCATTTACATTTTTTAAACTAGTGTTAACAACGTTAATATCGAGTAAAATTGTTTCCAATTATTATATGTGCAGTACACCTAAAAACAATACCTTGTTCCAATTCTATATCTGACTTTGCTTCACTTTTTGCTTTTTCTGCTTTCTTTAATCTTCTTTTTTCTGACCTCCTTTCAATCTTGCTGTATAATTTGGGATTTAACCTAAAATATGTAAATCAAGAAAAAGAAGTGTGTTTGACTAAAAACTTGGGAATGTCTAATGAGAGATAGATTTTTGAATATTTAAAACCTGATGGAAAAAAGTGAAAAAAAAGGTGGTTATGGCCATTTTCCCCCAGTTTTTAAATATCCAAAAAATCTGTATCTCATTAACCATTCCTGAGTTTTCTGGCAAACACCATTTTTGTGTCTTTTTCAAATTAGATCAGTTGTACAACATATCAAACTTGTTTTCCCCCAGAGCCTAGGCTTTAAAAATGGTTCTTTCTCAGCAGTAGAAACACACCCGATATCAGCAAAATTTTAATGTTATTGATCTGTGCTCAGTCTCTCACTGGAAGTTGATCCTTTTAAATGAGAAATTGAATGTTTCAGGCCTTGGTCAGACTACGTGGATAAACAACTCACCAGGTTTATCCACCTTCCAGTCTGAACTAGGTGGCTTATCTCAAGCCAGGAGTTGTTGCTATAGTAACTAGGCCTGGCGTACCACCTGGTTTAACTTTTCTACACCAGGCTTTAATCGCTGTGGGAGGTCCCACGTTTGACCGCGGATCAACTACGTCTGCTGTGAGCGAATGTACGTGTCACATGCAATGTTTTGAAAATAATTTCCTGGTTCAGGCTCGTGAATATGCAAATGTAACTTCAGGTTCTCGCGCCTTGCTAATCCAGCTAGTCTGAACACCCGGCAGAATTAAGCCGGGCTTACCCTTGAGTCGAGCTTAACGCAAGCGTGGCTTATCTCCAAGTCTGAACATAGCCTGTATTGAATGAGGATTTTCCACATTTTAAAACAATGTATCTGTAACTTTCCCTACATTGGTTACAGTTCCCCCAGAGAGGGCAAATGGGTTACCTGGTTAGACTAAGGTAAAATAGGTTTATTATGAATAGTGTACTGAAGTGGTTATATACTAACCAATTTCAATGAGAAAATGCTAATTTAGAAAAGTCATGTTAATGAGAGATGATACACACTAAAAAAATATTACCAATAGTCTATCAAATTAGGTTGGGTATGCATATGAAGTACAGTGTAATTATTTAAATAACAAAATACTTAAAATCTATTTATGGAATATGTTGTTTGCTCACCACATTATGAAAATATAAACAGCATACAACAGCAACATGACAAGTGATTCATACCTACAAGATACAACATAAAGATGTTTTTTATTGTCATAAGCAAAACAAGAAATAAGATATATTGCCCTCAAGACAAACAGCAATAACAACGTATTCATACCAATCAAAACTATTTCACGTCAATTTCTTCATGCCTTTCAGAAATATATAATTTTCAAATTTAAGTAAATAAATTCGGTACATACAACCTCATGGTAATACCTGAATGAGGCATAATTATGTATTAGAAAGTAGAAATGAGCATTAATAGAATGTATTAGAAACACATTAGCTATTCATGGAGTTTTTACGAGGGTAAAGCATATAGCATTAGTTGAAGCATCGTTATCCACAGGGGAAATTTAAGTTATCCATCTACAATTTAAATTACAGTTTTGTATTTCCTACTCTGCAAAAAAAAACCTTTCTATATTCAAATTATCTTAGAACTGAATCGATACTCTAGTATTTAAAAAAAACAACATATTAATTGATAATTATTAACGATTTTAATGAATTCCGATGGCGGTTGGGTCAAGAGAAATAATATGAAAGACGTTTTTTTTCCTACCTGATGTGTTATCATACTGAATACAATCAACACATTCCAAAATACTTGTGAAAAAAAAATTTGCAAGTGAGTCTGGTGGAAATTGAACTCATGGAATCAAACCCATAATAATAAATATACTTATTCAATAATTCAACTTATACATACAATTACTATTTCAGAAGGTATGCTATATAAGCATGATTTTGGTTTGTTATATCATTTCTGAGTTGATTTATGTGCCTTTGAAGATCCCAACATCATGTCAAAAAAACAGGTTTATCACTTACTTAAATAATACTTAAAATGAAAACATCAAAATAGGCAACTAACCATTGAACTTTACCATCATGAATAACATATATCAATGTGGCTATGGACACAGAATAAACAGTTGTATCGCGAAACAGTGGCCACCACGTCAATGACACAACCTGTAGGAAGAAAAAGAAAACTGAGTACAAGGTGAAATTTATGTAATTGCTGAATTTGTGCAACCTTACAACAACAGTTACATTAAATTTATTTTTTGTTATGTGCCTATAAAAATAATGTTTTGCGCTTGACAATAAATGCGAAAACTGACTGCACACTGCGAATAATCATTCCTAGACCTTAGGTTAAGAGTGTATGGCAGGAGATACAATTAAAATTCTGATTGGATTTATTCAATGTGAAGTACAGCAAAGTTAACCCACAAAAATCTGACTTATTTCCAATTTTGCCAGATTTGTAAACGGGTTTTTTCAGAAAAGGGCAAATTTTAATAATTATATTATGAAAAATGGTTGATGGGACAACATTATACTATTTTAGGCTGTGCTTCCTCAACACCTATCTGATAAGTAATTGAAAAGAAGCCATTTTGTAATTATTCGCTGCGGAAATGGGTCCCAAATTATCTGATAAATTTTCGTACGAGAATCTGATCATTTATCGAAAAAAGATCCGAATGCGAAAATAAATAACCTTTGACAAATGTCAAATCACAGTCATGAAGAGAATTATTCTGGGTAGTTAGAAACTAGTAGTTGGTAGGCCTAGGCCTAGTAATTCAACACTTGATATAAAAAAGTGAGTAAATTTTCTGTAGTTATTAGATATAAAAAATGCCTGAAACGGCTGCGTTCGTCGTCGACAGTGTCTGGGAAATTTAAGATAATTTATCGGAAGAAATTATCGGAGTAATTACAAGTGCCACGGAAGCACACCTTAGAATCGTTCTTATCATCAATATTGGATTTTTTTATGGTAAATTTACATTTTTTAAAATTTATTCTAGGACTGGTCACCAATGACAGTTGTTACAAAGTACTACTACAACTCCATTGCTATCATTGCAAAATGCGTTCAACCGGATGCCATTTTCCCCACTGACAAACCATTGATCCCAATTTCTAACATAATTATTAAGATGTTGTATCTTAGTTTTTCTTTGTAAATTTTAATTGATGATTAAATGTGTGTTCGATAACTAATATAATACAAGCTTTTGTGTTTTTAGTACATTTTGATGGTAAAATATTAGATTTTAAAATGATTATTCCAGAAAGCCTATAATGTCATTCAGGCGTAATGAACGGTAACCAACGTCTGGTTGGCAACAGAGGGTGCCACCTGGCGTTGTGACGACACGACTGTGGTACTCTATAGTGCACACAGAATCAATGGCTTAAACGTCTCATTCGAAGATGGTGTGCTATTGAAATTTGCAATTTCAGCCCTCCAGCTGAAATGCAAGGAGAGCAGTGAATGGAATTTAACCAGGTAACAAGGTTATAATTTCTGTAGTAGATTTACTCATCCAAATATTTGATTTTTAAATATGTTTACATTGACATCCTTTTTACTACATATATGATTAATGATTCTCATAAATTATAGTTATACTGTGACAGAAATAATTGGGGATCTGCTCAAAAGTTATAAAAAGATGAAAAATATAATAATATATGCAATACAACAGATTTGTTGATGAAAAAAGGCTACAAAAGCTGCTATCATTAGAGATATTATTTGAGGAAGCACAAGTGTCAATATAAAATTGATGGCTTTTGTAAAGAGCTTTATACCTGTCCTGCAAACAATGCACAAATTCCTATGATAATCAAGATATTGAATACAGCTGATCCTATAATTGTTCCAACTCCTACATCTCCATTTGCTATAAAAACTCCTGTAGAAAAAAAACAATAATAAATACCTTAAAATATCCGAGTCAAAGGAATCCCTGAAATTGCCTGTAGGACTACTTAAACCATGCTTAAATCTACCCTCTTCAGCGTAAGACGTAAAAATAGACTTATGGCCCATAAAAGTGGTCTAAAGTCAATTCTGAACTAACTTAAATTATTTCTTTAAATGCAGGCTATAGAGTAATCTATCACTACAGTAACTAATCAGTTTGATTTGAAAAATCACTGCAAAGTACATCAGGGATTGAAATAAAAAAAAAAAAATTACAAATATACACGTATATCTATATCATAACGATTCCTTGTATGAAAAAAAACTGTTTCATCTCAAACACAGAGAACTAGTTTACCAAAATCAAGTGTGATATAACAGAAACCAATATAACATAGTAGCATGCATTTACAGTACATATCATTGAAAAGTAAACAAGTGTTGGACTATTGTATTTGTAATTTATCAATACAAATCTTTGCCCATTTAGAAATTGAAGGTAATCCAGACGGAAATTCTATGGAAACTCACCGATAACAGATGTGAATAACTCTGGAGCAGAGCTTCCTGCCGCCATGAATGTAGCACCAGCAACATCTTCGCTAAATCCAAGCCTCTGAAATTACAGAAGGATGTTAATCAATTTGCAATTTGCTAATTAAACATATTTAATATTTTCCACCTTGTGAAAAATATATGAAACGAATAAAAACAAGAAAGTATGTAAATTACAGAGTTAAGATTAGATGTATGGTGTGTTTCAACTCTTAATCAAGTTAAGTTTAAATCAGTTTTAAAAAAATGTAAGATTTGTCGGATTTTTTTTTTATTAAGTACAACAGATACATCTGATAGTTTGTTCTTAGATTTAAGACTTAAGTCAATAATATTTATCAGTTGTTTGACAAAACTCAAAGCTGTGACCTCTTTTGGAAATATATAGTTGAAGCAAAAAATGCTGAAGATCGAATCCCGGTTGGGGCGCCTTTTTTCACACTCTACATACATACATTCATGTACTTATACATTCATTTATGTGAAGCATTGACTAAGACTGCTGGAATAGCAATAAGTATTCAATAGTATAAATTTTAGTGTTTCTAAAGTCTAAATGTGTGCATCAAATAAAAAAGTATTGATTAAATTCTGAGTATGCAGAGGCATTACATGGAATAGCAGAGGTATGTAGTAGATTTTAATGGCTTTCTTCCTGTAGTGGAGTGACAACAGTTTGATAGTTTAATGAAATTCTATATGACTGAATCGAAGAATTAATATTGTGTTGGAAACACATCATTATAGATGTCAGGTTTGCTGTTATTTCAAACATCGATACATTATTGGACATTTTCAAAAAATGGACAAAAAAAATCCTTGACTAATAATACCGTATCCTTGTTTTTAATTACTTTTGAATTGTAACCATATTTTCTGTATATTTTTGCTATATTTATGTATCAGGGCTTCCTGGGAAAGCAGTGATAGTCACTGAATGGTTATACCCTGAATAAAGAAAGCTTAAAAAATAATATAAGATTAGAATAAATTCTAATTTAAATATATCATCAAAATATTTTTAAAACATTGAAAAATTGAATAAATTCCAAAGATGAAAATCTGTTGCATTATTTTAAAAACACACCTAAATTTCATTTATCATTTTAAGTTGGGAAATATTTTCCAAGTCTTAAATTTCAGGCTATTACAGTAGCAGATAGTGAAATCTGTGGTATACAGATTTCAAAAAATATGAATCAGTATCAATTATTATTAGTACAAACTGGATTTTTTAAGATGTTGCACTTAAATTTAAGCCTTGCTCCACCAATCTTATTTAGGACAGCAGTTTATCAATCAGAAAGTAAGCATGTTCAAGCCTTCAGTAGTTGACCTGTATTACTGGGTATCATTAATTTATAAATTTATTTTATTTATATATTTTTTTATTTTAAAAATTTTAAAAATTATTTATGTAATTTAGCATATAGGAAAACATTTGTATTGTGTATTATTTTAATCAATTTTTAGTTAATTGTTATCTTGTGAACACATTATTGAGTACAGTACCACCAATTTATAGGTGTATGGTCAGATATTATTGTTATCAATACGATCCTGCATGAAATGCAAAAACAAATTTTAAGCACCAAATTCTAAATTTTAATAATTCATTCATTCTTAGAATATTGAATATTAGGAAGAAAGCAAAAGTAGGCCTATGCATCCAACCATTAAAAAACTATCTTTGATAGAATGCATCCAGCACCAATTGTGGTAGAGACAAGCAAAACCAGTCACTTGTTGCAAAAATCGATTTTTATTTATTAATACAGGGTTAAAGGTGAAAATGAGAACTATAAAATAGTAAAAAAATCATTTATATCCGACATTTCCTTATGAAGAACTTTTTACAAGCGTTTAAACATAGAGCTGTTTAATGAACAATATTTCAGAAATCAGCCTTTAAAGTTATAGTATGATTTTGGGCATTGCTCAGGCAGAAACCATCACCAAATTGTTAAAAATTGTTGTTTTAACATTGAAAATGGAAAAAATAACAGCATATCATGATGTATAGATATATAAAGTTTAGTTTAGTGCAAGAAAATAGATTTCAAAAATTTTGACATTCCAGCATTTTTTGGCCATTATCTCTAAAACACGATTTGCGATGAGTGACTGGTTTGGCTCGTCTTTGCCACAAATGTTGCCTATACACATTTAATAGCCCATCAGTGGTGGTCTGAAGTGAGCAAATATAATTGATTTTATTTTTGTATTTTAAAATTCTCTTAGTGAAATGTGCAATTCTTCCAATACACTGTTAATGTTTTTTCCCTATAAAATGCCTCCAGCTAACAACATGCTAAATGCCTCTGACCAGCAGCCATGCAGTCGCACTGTTTCTAGCCCTGTGGTAAGAACATTCTCTTAAAAAATAATCTCATGATTTTTCTACATGCACTTCAATAGTAAAAATCAATTTTAATAATTGACTATCTTCAGTGCTGGATAGATTACTCATAAATATTCATTACTTTCAGCCTTATGGAAACAAGCTTACTGGTAATTTGTATGATGAAAACTGTTGGCTTGGAAATCACAGCATATTGCAATGCAAAATTTCAAATAATGATCCATGGAAATTATTATTGATATTTTTAGGAACTACAGTGATGTTTAATATATTTAGAAAACCAAGTCTTCTATTCAACCTCTAAAATTTACCAATGAAAATATTTTGGTCATCCCATGCAGGAGCGTGTGGCGCAACGTGTAAGGTGTTGGACTTCTGATCGTGAGATGGGGAGTTCGAGAATAACGCTCGTCTCATTGCTTGTGTCCTTGGGCAAGGCACTTTACTTAATAGTCAAGTAAAAATATCATTAAATTCATCAAGGAAATCAGTCAAAAGTTACTTTGATAAAAAAAATTTATAATACAATAGAAATTGAAATACAAGAATTACAGCATAGAACTAAATGTTAAAATTTTCAATTTACAAGGGTAGAATCTTTCAAGATATGAAAATAGAATTATTGCTTCATTGCTTACAAATATTGACAGTTAAGAAGATATGCATGAAGACCCTCTGTAGATTCTTAGAAAGTAAGTAGATAAAAAAAACTACAAAATACAAGATAGCACTTTCGATTTTGAACAAAGAATTGAAAAGGCAGTGAATATTATAAAATGTTTATTCAGCCAGTGGCAGAATAATTAATGCCACAGAAGAGATTCTCTGTATTACTATCCTGGGAAACAGGTCATAATTATAAAACCTGTCAAAGTCGTAACATCATCTGTCTATCTAACATCATCTGTCTATCATCACTTCTGTAGGTAGAGAATTTGCTAGGAAAAAACGTTCTAGGAATTTCTAATAAAGAATAAAATATGCAGCCACACATGGTAAACTAGAAAGTATAAACAAAAAAAATAGAAATTGTAATCTATTTAATGAAAAAAAAATTCCTTTTATTTTTTCTAAATATATTATTAGCTTGCAAAGTTTCTTCTAAAAAGATCATTGCAACAGATTTAAAGGGTAAAGAAACCAACAATGTTACTTTAGAACTGGTTACCAAAAAAGATTATCTTTAAATTCTAACTGCTGAATGAGAAGAAACATAGAACGTAAAACCGCTCATATTGTGGTTAGCAATTAAGCCACTGATAGTCTTGACCAATCAGCGAAACTCCTACCCGTGTGTGTGTCAAACAATGGTGTTACAACAACTGTGTTACCTCTGTTATTGAACCTCAGGCCAAAGCAAAGCTTAAGCAATATTCAAGAGCTATGGATGCCATGTACAGTACATGATAAAAGTAAGAGATAGCCTTTATTTATACTGAAAAATAGACAAACTACAATAAAGCATATTGTATCGAAGTGAGATTTTTGAATTTTTTTTTGTTATTTCCAAGAAAACGTATCCCATTACTTACATTACTTTTCCCATTTGGAGTTTCCTGATGAAATCCATGTCTGAGAATAAATTTTATAAAAGTTAGCCTTAAAAGTGCTGTTGTCATTTCTTATTGTTCTACAGCAGACGAATGCGGCTACAATTTTTATTCATCAAGAAAACAGAACTAACTGTAGAAGCCAAAAATCCAACAGAAGTCAACCCATTCACAACATCTATCGAGATCATGGAAAAACAACGTAAATTGAAAAGTTTACATCTCACAGCCAATTTTAATAAAACAGAAATAGTAAACCAGAGCAAAAGCTACAATAGAAGCTGCGATTAAAAAGTAAAATTTTACTGGAGGGATAACATATTATCTTAACACCACATTAAAACTTGCATTTCACTATGAAACTGTTTAGTTGCTGAAATATGAATATAATGTGTTAAGGACTTCACAACTAATGATTGATTTGGCTTATTCCCATGAAATTTTAATGAAGAAGCGTAGAATTAGAACACCTTAAATGCATCTTCACGTTGAGGTATTTCATCCACGTTGCCAATGCATATGATATAGGACATAATGTAAACAAAGATGAAAGAATGTAAATAAGAGAGTCCATGGCACAAGCAGCAAAAAGGAGGATGAGATTAATTAAGGTACATCAAATTAATTCAAAGAACTTCAGGTGGACAAATCTTTGTTCATTTATATGGTAATATCTCAAATAGAACTTTGTATGCACATGATGAGTCAAACACATTAAAGGGATGGAACATGATAAATAAATTGAAATTTAGTCCCAGGGCAGAAATAATCAGCAATAATTATAACTGAGATTGCAGCATTAACTTAGGAGTTGCATTTGTCATTGTATCCCTTTTCATCTCCATCATTTATCTCTTCTTATGAATCTTTAATATTGGAGTGAAGTGGGTGCAACAACTGTGTAGTCACTCCCCACCCACCAAATCGGAAAAGGTTCACATTTTCAAGACAGTCGAGAATGTACTGAATATAAAATATTTTATTTTCTGTAATAAAGGTTATGAGGGTATCTTAAAACAATCTATCATTAGGCATCATTTGGGAATTGAAGTTGGCATAGTAATAAAAAATCGAAGCTGCGATCCAACTGGCTATGTCTTCCGGGGATTGTAGTGTTTCTCAATTAGACCATTTTTGCACATCTATGCACCACGGGAATCCTGAATACGACCCTGTTGTTACACAGTATTGAGTGGTGAGACCTACAACAAAACTTGGGCTTGATGCAAATGAGGCCTGAAATAAACCAACGGCTATGTTCACAAACACCATCTAGGCCTAATGGTTAGCAGGATCCAGAATGTGAAGGGAATATATCTCACTATGTGAAATCATGAAGGTATCATAGGCTTGGATTTACAGAAAGAACAGAAATATTATTGTGCTTCACAAGGTTGAAAGATCCTGGAAAGCTACTGATTTTAATTAAGATTATAAAATTCAGATTTATCTTTGAATATTTTAAGACTTTCTGGCAACCTTTTTGGAAAGTAAAATATTGTGAAAATCTTGTACCTAAGGCCATTTATCCTCTACCAAGATAAAAATTTTGCTTGGGAATTTTTTAGTTGATCTTAATATTTTAAAAAGCACGCTACATACATGTATAATGGTAATACCAAATATATATTTTAATCTTAATTATATTTCAATGTATTTTATGTTATGAAGCAAATATATTTATGATATATAAAACAAACTAACCATCCCATACATTTTATTATTAAATATAACAATTAAATATCCTGTATTAATTGAAGAAACATTAATGATGATACTTATTTCTATATATATATATATTAAATAGTAGGTTTAAAATATACTTATATAACCTCTTACGTCTAATCTACATAATTACTGAAAGATATCATGGTCATATTAGATTAGGAGCAATTATGCCAGTCACATGGAAAAATGGCTACTAAATGGATATGTATTTGTACAGAACATATTACACATCCAGTCCCTTTACGCTTCAGCAGAGATCAACGGAAGAAAAGCTAACCAAATATCCTAATACTAACAAGAGTAAAAAGACAAAGCAGCAGAAGAGCAATAAAACACAAATTGTTTTGTACCTACACAGTGGCGGATCCAGGAATTGAAAATATAGGGGGCCAAGGAGGTACTTTCACAAATGAAGGATCTATACCACCTCAGCCCCAGCCGGTTGGGCTGAGGTAAGAAAACTTATGGCACTTCTAGATGGCTGGAAATTGCACTCTCAGACATAAAATATTTTTAATTTATTTTTTAATTTTTTAATTTTTTAATTTTTAATTTTCTTTATATCTACATTTTTAAAAAAATATTTTGAACAATTTAGAAGGGTGACTGGGTCGGCTGGAGGGCCCCCTTTGTGAATCCAACACTGAAGGCAACATGCAATGCTTGGAATAGCATAGTCTCAACTTACTGTCTATTCAGTAATCTTATATCTAAACTCTTGATTACTTTCAGTACCATACTTAATGTCAACCCACCTCATTAATCCTTGTAATCCTTACTAGTGGGTGCCACATTGTATTTTTTGTGGCGCAATAATAATTTTATATTGTTAATCGATGTCGCATTAATTTAATCATGCAAATGGAGTAAGTAAATTCTTCATAAGGAATAGGATATGCAAACAACTACAAATCAAAATTCTGTAGGGTAGGCGATAAACCATTGAGGAACATGGGGTCAAACAATATAGAGCATGTGTAAGCATGATGTAATGTGAAGATTTGAATGATAGAAGTGAAGGGATTGTCGGAGAAACAGCAATAGCTCTATCCACGCTATCAAATTTTCTTTGACAAAAATCTGTTGTAATGTATGCCTATATATAATAATGACGTGCCTATATATGGTCATATGATGTCATCATGACCATATTTAGGCAAATCACATGTTTTTGTCCAATAACATTTGATAGTCTGTGTTGTGTTCCTGAGTTGTCGTTGAGACAGGAACAGGCAGACACACAGACAATCAACATACTGTATGTGGCAAAGACAAGCTAAACCAGTCACTCGTCACAAATCGTGTTTCAGAGATAACGGCCAAAACATGATGAAATGTTAACATTTTTGAAATCTATTTTCTTGCACTAACTAACCTTTAAATATACATCATGATATGCTGTTATTTTTCCCATTTTCAATGTTAAACCAACATTTTTTAACAATTTGGTGATGGTTTCTGCCTGAGAAATGCCCAAAATCATAAACTTTAAAGGCTGATTTCTCGAACATTGTTCTTTAAACAGCTCTATATTTAAACGCTTGTAACTTCATAAGGAAATGTCAGATATATTTAATTTTTAACATTTTATAGCTCTCATTTTCACCTTTAACTATGTATTAATAGCTAAAAATCAACTTTTGTGTCTATGTACTTTATTCTTCATAGGCAGATCTAAAGGGGAAGGGGGAGGGGAAGAGGCCATGTTAGCCTTGGCCCCCTAAATTTTTGAATTTTCTTTTTAAATGGAGAAAGAAAAAAGAAAATTATATTCAAAGTCTGGGAGCGCCATAGCTCCCAGACTTATTTCATTATTTTTCACAATTTAAAAAAAAAATGTTAATATATATGCAGAACTAACAAAAATAACAAAATAATTAAAAAATAAACCAAAAAACTAACATATGTTCGGTTATCTTTACACACAAAACATGCATCTTTACCGCTCGGCCACATTTCACCTCATATACATATAGCCAGTAATATTACACCCCTATAATACAACGACAACCAGCGGATACAAAGATATAGCGCCACAGCAGGGCGAGGGTTTGTAATCTCAGATTATCTTGTTATTAACGTACATAGAATTTTTTAGCTTCCTGTGATTACTTCAAAAATAAACGGTATTATTCCTCCACAAATGAGAAATATTTTCTCTTTCTAATTTAAATTTTTGTAAATTATTTAAACAATATTTTTTATTGTTTATATATGATTATTATTACTGATATTAATTTTGAATTTATAGATAGATATTCCACTAAGGAATAATCAAATTGTTAAAAACCTGCAAAATGAGCAAACCATCTTCTGCAAGTGATTACCTTACTGACTATATTGTTTTTTTTTCACTGTGGTCCTTTTTCCGGCAACTCTGGGGAATGGTCAAATTCCATCGATAATGGTGCCACTTAACAGACCAGTCAAATAAATGTTCAGTGGAACGTATCAATACAGTTGGCATTTATTATTCCTCATTAGTTAAGTAACTGTAATCAATTATCTTTAATTACCTCACAGATCTTCTCAAGCGATGACACAAAGTAGTCGTCACACACAATTGCGAGAGCGATGAACATGTACACAACCTAAAATCAAAAATATTCAAAAATATTTTCAGCTGGTAGTTTCTTTATGTAATATAGTATACTTAATATACTAATGAAAAAAATAAATAATAAATATGAATTTTCCTATTATATAAAATTACTACCACCCAAAAAACATCACTAATTAAAATAATAATTTTAACTGGTGAATTAAATTTAATTTAAATATTATTATTTGAATAACAAAACTTTATCTAACTATTATTCATAATGTTTTACAGTTTTATGTTAAATCATAAAATATATTCTTCTGATTTGCATTATTTATATTATAAATTATTAAATATTTATACACAGCCTAACCAAACTATTTATATTTTTTGAGTAATAATTAATAAGATAATAATGTATTACATTACTTTATTATAATTATTACAGTATTCATAAATGTTTTATGATTATTCATATTATATATTTTTCGGATTTGTTGGCAGCAAAACAAACATCAATAATTAATATAATTATTTTAACTGGTCAATACAGAAGTTTATCATAGTTACTATTTGTAATGTTTTACAGTTTTATACTGAATCCTAAAATATAATCTTCTGATTTGCATTATTTATTTCAATATTAAATATTCATGAACAGCCTAGCCAAAATATTTATATTTTTTGAGCAATAATTAATATAATATACAGTACCTGTATTACAGTACTTTATTGTACTTATTATTCGTAAATGTTTTATGATTATTCATTATATATTTTTCAGATTCGTTTGCAGCAAAACCATAAAGATGAACATCAATTGTTAATAAAGTATTCATAATATAATACTATTTTCTAAAATATATTAATATACTACATGAAATGTACCTTATAAACTAATTATAAATCATTAAGTAACATTTATATTATATACATATGTTAATATTAAACATGTCACCTTCAAATGTAATGTGTGCATATGTTATGCATAAAATATGTACATTTGATGATCAATAAAATTTTATATAAATTATGTACCTCAATGTGATCAATACAGTATATTTTATATGTTCAGTGAACTTACAACACAGATGTGTACGACCAGAGCACCAGTCTTTCTTTGTTGGTTTGTAAATATGTCTGGAGGAAACTCATGAATTGCTGTGAACATAAAAACAAATAATTTATTAGTTATAGTCAATCATTATCTTTATAGAATGTAGATTTATTCATATCATATAGTAAAATATTAACTTTACTTTGGTCATTTCCCAATGGTGTCATAACCCAGGGGCAGCATGGCTGCAGGAGCCTCAAAAGTGAGGTCTGGGGCCTGCTGAGGCAACCAGCGGGGTCTAGGGACAGAGCCCATGGTGGGGTTTGCGGGGTAAACCCCAACCCCTGTCTGATCCCCCTCTTGGCAGTAGTGGTCATACCTAATGTGGTTATTGTTTGCATTTTTTTAAAGATAAAGAAAGCTAAACACAATTTCAAGTGATTATTCACATACTACAGTAAGCTTTATAAAGAACAATACCCTGTATGGAACCTAAACATTGTATATTTTCTTCATTTGTCTTTCCTACTGATCTTTGTAACTTTTATTCATTTTAACGCCGATTTCTCCTTACCATTTTAACTTTTTTTTTACGTTTTAATGCTAACTTTATTGAATGTTTTAGTGTTCTTAAATTTGTCTTCATTATGTAGTATTGATATACAATTCTATTTATAAGCTTTTACGTATGTTATGATTTTTTTTAATTGGGTTGCGTACACACAAAAATTTCTAATTACAAGCTTTTACGTATGTTATGTTTTGCAATTGATTTTCTAAAATTAACATTATATGTTTCACCATTAAACTAGGGTACTTCCAACAAATGATATGGTTGACTTGCTATGGGTATGATAGAACGTTAATAAGTGTTTTGACTGTAGGGGTTTAGTTCTCAATCTGTCAAAGACTGTTTAATACTTCTGTACATAAACCAAATTTAATCACTGTTTTGACAAGCAATAGTAGAACAAATTCTTTGGATATTTTTCCTTACTTGGTGGTGTACAATTCTGTCGATCTAAGTGTTCATCTGAAACGTCGTCATCTGAAGAGTTATCCGTTTCAACAGACATCAGATGTCGTCTGAATAGAATGTCATCCCCACCCACAGTTTCTGCTGAAATAAAGATGTAGGCTTAGAATAAATTCAAGATCAATAATAAAGAGTTAAAGATGAAAATTAGAGCTATAAAATAGTAAAAGAATCATTTAAATCCGGCATTTCCTTATGAAGTTAAAAGCATTTAAACATACAGCTGTTTAAAGAACAATATTTGAAAAATCAGCATTCAAAGTTTATGATTTCAGGCATTTCTCAGGCAGAAACCATCACCAAATTGATAAACTTAATTTTTTTTTTCTTCTTCTCTGTTGTTGTTAAGCGCCTTGAGGTTGTGTCAACGTGAGGCGCTATATAAATCCAGAATTATTATTATATTATTATAAAAATAACAGCATATCATGATGTATAAATATGTAAAAGGTTAGTTTAGTGAAATAAAATAGATTTCCAAAAAAACTCATACAGTACAAGATCCTATTCTCCCAAAAGAAAGAAAAACAAATACTGTAAAACCTCAAGCAGATGCCCAACGTGCTAAATAGAGAAAACACCCATCACATAAAGAAGCACGGCCCTTCTTAATTTCGTAAAAGATCTCGAAAAGGAGCCCATCCGAATAATCCTTGATCCGAAATAGAAACCTGGATGTGCTTTTAATCAAGATAGTATGTACAGTATTTCTTTTTGAGATATACTCAATTGTCACACAGAAATACACTGTTAAAAAAAACACTAGGTTTATAGTTTATGTAATTTCATTTACCATTCTTAATTGAAAAAATGATGCTTCTATTTTTTGTGAGTTTTAAAAATATTCCACAGAATTTTGGATTCCATGGTTTAAAAATGTCTTCAGTAGTCCTATATGGTTTTATAGTAATTCCAACTATTTACAGTATTCATTTTAGAAAAAACACACCCTCCTACCACTCATTTCAAAAATCCATCCGAGAATCCTGAAAAAAAAGAAGCCCATTGGCTTCGATTCAAGGTTTTATGGAAGTTACTAAAAGGCTAATCACAATTTTGACAGATTATGTGATTCTGAAATTTTGTTAGTCTCTTGAATCCTTAAATTCAACTCACTTGTTCAATGTCATACACCCCCCACCACCAACACACGCACAAAGTCAAACTTAGGGTCATAGCACTTCCCTGTACTACACTACTCTCAATCCAGGATTCAGGACGCTGTAGACACTATGGGTTAAAAAGTATTTAAATGACTCCTGGATATGTACCCAGAGAGGGCTCAATAAATTTAGGGGCAGGAGTTTCCACAGGAGGGTCCAAACCAACTTGGGCCAGCTGAATAGAAATATAGGGTGCCAGAATAATGTTCTGTGGAGTTCATCATGGGAAAGATTTAATGGTTTAGGTTGCCCAAAATTATGTTTCTAAACCACAATATAGGGATTGGTAATCCAACATATGGGGGTGGGGGCATGAATAAAATTAAGAATAGGGATCGGACATCCACAAAATCTTACATTGATCAATACAAATTAATATTTCCAGTTCGACTATGCGTGTCCCACGGGGTGGGGAAATATTTTACCCTCTTCCCCCACCGCGCATCCCCCTTCAAGTCTGTTCGTATGACTCCTCCTCTGGAGCACACAGGGCGTACAGGCCCTTAGACCCTACCCCCTAGTCCTAGTCGCACATTGCCTAAATAAAGCAGTTACTAGCCTAGACTACTACTGGCCTAGGCTAGGCCCCTAGGTAGGATTCTGTTCACAATACTATAGGCTAAATAATATTATGAAAAATTACAAGGACCTACGTAAATACATTATTCATAAAAAAACAGACAGAATAATACTAATATAAAAGAAGGCATCCAGCTTAAGTATACCTATCCCTAACCCCGTGCTCTTCTACCTGTAACTACTACCACTACCTGCCTAAACTAAAAAATTTAGAAACAAATGTAAATACTGCCCTCTATTTGTTTATATCTTGCGGATAAATTGAAGTAGTACTGTACGAGTCAATTTTCAAGGAGCCTAACTAGTATTTCGTTTACATGGTTCCATGGTAAAAGAATAAACAAATTTAAACATCAGTGTCTGCTTGGTAATCCTTCATTAAAAAAAATACTCATTTCCACATTTAATCAACCCCACAATACAGTTTACAGGTTCCATAACTATAACCGGTACTGTAGTATAAGACTATGTACAACTGCTTAACCTAAATAAATGTTGGCCTACCACAACAGAACACCCATAAGAACAACGCAATAATAAAGCCAAAATGAGATGAATGATCCTCGATTCCTTAATTGCTCTTTAGGTAAGACGAGTAAAATGCAATAAAACTAGATGAAGAGAAAGGGTAGCCCTATGCCTACGTACTTTTTTTTTCTAAAACAAATAGCAATGTGTTTTATTCCAAATGATAATACCGTCGTATGTATTAATATTATTACGCTAAAAGCTCAGTGGTCGTGTGTTCACTGCATACTTTCTGTATTCATGGAGCCTGGTATACCATATAAATTTTCAAATTGATTTAAAACAACAATTTAAAAAAAAAAACTAAAAATCCTATAGCTATAATTAGACAAATTTTAATATTCTTTATAATATTGCCTATAAAATTCATGTTGTCCTCATTAATTGTATCTCCTAGAATAGACATATAAATTGCCAGTTATTTTTCACAATAAAACTGAAAAATATGGTGGTTGTTAGCAAAAAAAAAAAAAAACTACGTAAAAAATAACCATCCAACGAATGACCGGTATATGAACCTTTCCTGCATATCATTTATCCTTCCAGGGTTAATAGGCGGTTAAGTAGACAGTTACTATAGCTAAACACAATACTGTATTCAAAATACGGGGATTGTTGCCAAACAAAACTACAGTTAGACATTACTGTTAAAAATTGCATTTTATTTAAACAGTTAAAGATATCTGACTTCAACATGACTACCCCATTTGGTATGTATCTAATGCTGATTAATAGATAAATTGGTCGTCGACAAAAACTTTCGGATTAATTCACGTAATCAAGCTCATATTTTCCTGTAGAAATTATGGGAAAATCGGTAATCCTTCAACCGATGAAATCAATAGTAATATATTATAACTAAACTTGAGTTCCAAGCGAAGCGAATGCAGCGAAGTAGCTAAGGTCACAGCATATAAACAACCAGTCCATAAACAGCAAAGTATAAAATTACTACAGATTAGAGTCGCTTTTATATTTGCACGAATTTTTGTATATGAACACTCCTTCTATGCCCTATTGAAGTAGTTGAAATATTCGTTGCAATAATTTTTAGTGTTTCTAAAGTCAACAATTTAAGTATCAGAGTGTATAGGCCTATATCAACTGAGTAAAAAAACATATTCTAACCAAAATCCACTTTTGATCCTGATGTCCTTTAACTCAAACGGATTTCATGATTTGCTTACTAGAGATTCGCGTGCCACGGGTCTAACGAGCAGTTGACCTGGTTTCATGAGGAACACACATCAACTTTCCTCCATGCATCAACCAATAAAAAATTGCGGAATATGTGTCCAAAGCCATAAACCAATCGTCTCATCCAATCGTATTAACGGAATACCGTATCACAGCGAACAGCTAGTTTCTATGACTTCTAATAGAGCAAGTAAGAATACTGCTTACTATTATAAGTAATAAACAATGCAGACATAACACGGTATAGGCCTATATATAGAAATGAAATATAGCGAACTGCTTTTTCTAATTTAATCGAATATAAATATTTATACTTATTATAAGCCTATATATTATACAAAATATATATTTACATTGTACATATATATACATATATATAGGCCTGTACATATATATATATACACATATATACGTATATATATACATATATATACATACATACATATATAAATATACATACATATATACATACATATATACATACATATATATATACATATATATATATACATATATATATACATATATATATACATAGGCCTACTATACATATACATACATATATATACATATACATGTACATATATATATGTATATCTACGGTATCTTTAGTGTTACATTTCTCCAGAGATTCCAGCAAATATAATCTCGGTACCATCACATGTCATTTAGAGCTCAGATATGCGTGTGTGTGTGTGTGTGTGTGTATTACGTTCGCTCAAAATAACTTTGTAGATCAAAAGAAATTATAACATAACGTCATACATATATTTATAGTATCTGCTTAGATATACTAAGTACTGTAACCACTTGAAATAATATAATAATATAGGCCTCTGCAATGAATTCTAAAATAACGGCGAGGTATACTGTATTCCCGTAGTGTGGATACACGAGTTAAGTGCCTACATTGCTGACACCCACGAATGAAAATCAAATCATATACCGTACAGTACAGGCTTTACAAAAATCAATGGCATTCGAACATCTATAGTCTGAAGGCACCGCGTGGTGGCATCGCACCTTAAACATATCAGAACAGCAGTACGGTACTGCACCGCTACAAAATCGTGTCTACTTCGATAACTGTGTTTAGAAATTAAGCAGTGAGAACGGGAAGAGTGGCATTTAAAATGGCTAAGGAGTCAAGCTGAAAATAAATCAAAATATTAAGCTTGGCCTGTAAAATCTATTTGATGGAAATAAAGAAAGTTTACATATTGTATGTTGTTAAAATATTAAGTTATAACTTTGATTTGAATCTGATTGGTCGGTTTTTATTTGGTTCTGTAAACATGGATGGGTGAGATTTTCTCATCAGTACTGGTATTCTTGAAAATGATCAATTAGATCGAAACGTTGAACATCAAAATGTCTCTGTCTCTTTTCGGAGTTACTGTCTTTTTGTTTTGTGAAAATAACGTGATTTTCATTGAAATAGATTGCATCAACAGTCCTGAAATGAATGTTAATTAAAATAGTGAAATGTTATATTGACCTGTCACACCGAACTCATCGGTCACTAATGAGCACCTTTTATGTATTTCTTCAATCATACAATTATGTAACGAACAGACAGGAAAAGTTTACTGACGTCTAATCGTCCGATAGTCTAGC